CATTTGATAATTGCCATAAAATTCAATGGAATAATTCCACAATTGTAACAAAAGAACAATCCACAAAAAAACGTAAAATTAAAGAAAGCGCACTAATTTTACTAAATCAAAATAATTGTGCTTCATGTTCATGTAATTTAAGTCATACATGGTTACCTATGCTAAAATCTGAAGTAGACCAAAGAAACATACACCCAAATTAAATTTACAACAAAATTATTAATTAACATTACCTTTACTAATTTAAACAATGAGATTAAGTCAAAGTCGCATAACTGACAATTTGCACAGACGAATTATCAGAGCGAATTTTTATATACTGTATTATCCTACTATTGTTACACAATTTATTAACATACTCTTTTTTAGGTTCATTTAGGTTCTTTTGATAACGATCGCAGAAAATAGCTATCGAAACGTCAAGGTAATTTTTCAAATAAATTTCTTTACTAACTGGAATTTTCTGTTACAGCTTGAGCCTAAGTGTGTCGCAGGGTACCCTCTAGGTGATAGTTCTTGATTACTTTTTGATAAATAATTCGTTCTTATTGCGAAATGGGAGCACTATTTATCAATCTGTAATAAAAGTCGTGAGGAAATTCTGTCTTTTTCAAAGACAAAAATTTTTGAGGCGAAATACCCAAAAAAAAGTTCGTAAAAAAATGTTGGGTTTGATGCAACATTGCTCTGCAGGCTTCCAGCTGACGCACTCGCTGGGAGGCGGAACCGGCTCCGGCATGGGCACCTTGCTGATATCGAAAATCCGCGAAGAGTACCCAGATAGGATCATGAACACGTACTCCATAATGCCCAGCCCCAAAGTGTCCGACACTGTGGTGGAACCCTACAATGCCACGTTGTCCGTGCACCAACTGGTGGAAAACACCGATGAGACCTACTGTATCGACAACGAGGCGCTTTACGACATCTGCTTCAGAACCCTCAAGGTGCCCAATCCCAGCTACGGCGACTTGAACCACTTGGTTTCGCTCACCATGTCAGGAGTGACCACTTGTCTGAGGTGCAGAACCCCAACCGTTAACGCATCAGCAAATGTTAGTGAGCGGGTTTCCTTCCAGGTTCCCCGGCCAATTGAACGCGGACCTCCGCAAGCTGGCCGTCAACATGGTACCATTTCCGCGTCTTCATTTCTTCATGCCTGGATTTGCGCCGTTGACGTCGCGAGGCAATCAGCAGTACCGCGCCCTCACTGTTCCAGAACTCACCCAGCAAATGTTCGATGCGAAGAACATGATGGCCGCCTGCGACCCTCGACATGGTCGCTATCTGACGGTGGCTGCCGTCTTCAGGGGCCGCATGTCCATGAAAGAGGTGGATGAGCAGATGCTGGCCATCCAGAACAAGAACAGCAGCTACTTTGTCGAATGGATTCCCAATAATGTGAAAACGGCCGTCTGCGACATTCCCCCAGTTGGTCTCAAGATGTCTTCGACCTTCATCGGTGGGGCGACTGGTTCTTCTGCAGCTCCCAAACTCATCCTGTGCCCTTGCAGGTAACACCACCGCCATTCAGGAGCTGTTCAAGCGAATCTCCGAGCAGTTTGCAGCGATGTTTCGCAGGAAGGCGTTCCTGCATTGGTACACCGGCGAAGGCATGGACGAAATGGAGTTTACTGAAGCTGAGTCCAACATGAACGACTTGGTGTCCGAGTATCAGCAGTACCAAGAAGCTACTGCCGAAGACGACTATGAAGCTGAAGAGGAACCTGCTGGCGACGATTTCAATTGTCAGTAGATTTTCACCGAAAAAGCATGTGTACAGTGAGTAGTACTCAGAAGTAACGTCTAAAATCGGGCAAAATTCAGTTTATTCAATAAGATCTCCTTCGGAAACATAAAAAATCACGACTTCATTTATGCCCGGTTTCTCAACATTTGCCCTCATTGGTTCCATAACTATGTAGTGGATAAAGACCATAGATAAAGACGAGTATAGATTACCAACTCTCTCGCACAATGGGGAAACAATGTCTATCCTACCGCCATCTATTATGAATCTAGACACAACTGCGCCACGTCCTTTTTGCGGGGTTTGCGTCTCTGCTGCTACTCTTCAGGGTTTGCATCCTTGCTATTGTCGGCCTACCCATTACTTAAATTGGAATTAAGATATCTTTAATATTCAGTTTCATATATTTGTACAGAGGCAAGACATGTTTCTGATTTATAAACAAATATATCAAATTGAAAATAAACATGCTCCTAATCTCAATTAAAGTACTGGGTGGTGTTTGGATAGGTTGATAATAAAAACTTCATAAGCATTTTCAATTTTTTAGTGCAGTAAATAAATAGGCGAAACGCCAAGTACCATTAATTTGTGAAAAGTGTTTTATGCAAACAACAAACCTTTGATTAAAAAGCAAAATGAGCACGTTATGAATCAAGGTTTAAGAAAATAAACGAATAATTCAGTGTAACAACTAATGAATTAATTAATTCAGTGCATTCAATACTTTTAGAATGTGATAATACAAATATAGGACAAACTAAACGATATTTAAAAAGAGAATGTACGAACATAAATACAACAACACAACAATAAAAACTATTTCTGTTATCTCAATACATACATACCACTCTCACAAATGGGAAAAATAATTCAGACAAATTTAGGTTTCAAGAGGGCAAAGACCTAAAACAACATTGATTTTTACCAATCATTAGTTACCAAGTTTTTCCATTGTT